TCCCTCCCAGGTCATAAGTCCTGATCACTGGCCCCTTGGCAAGGGCAGACAAGCAGCTGTCCTCTGCACCCCAGTGTGCCTGCACATGCTTATGCTGTGCCTGCACCTTGAGTCAGTTCCTTTTTGATCAGGCACATGCACATAGGGTGTAATTCAGCTAGTGTTCAGCTCTCCTTGGCAGGTAATCCCAGCTGGTCTTTAAAGTCCCACAGGTGACTAACCTGCTGCCAGGCTGAGTGGGGCCTTCCAGAAGAGACCAGCAGGGAACCCTCTACAGTGGGAAGAACCCAGCATCCGGCACTCAGCCCTGGCATGCAAGCGGGGAAGACCGTTGGGCTGGCCGCGCTGTGGGGCTCAGGGAACAGGAAGCAGGGCTCAGAGCACCTCGCGGGAGGGCAGCCCCTCCCAGGGCCAGAACCCACTTCCTACTTCACTGCAGGCTGCAGGGGGCTGGGCCTCCCCTGGCCTCCCGCCCCTCCACTCTCCTGTCAGGAAAGTCAGGGCAACCTGGCCTGGTGTTTCCAGCTGGCAGGATGGAGGACGAAGAAGGCCCCGAGTATGGCAAACCAGACTTTGTGCTTTTGGACCAAGTGACCATGGAGGACTTCATGAGGAACCTGCAGCTCAGGTAGACCCAGCAGGGGCCTAAGTTCCCCTCTTCCATGTCCCCAAATCCACACAGAGCCCTGAGGGAAACCTCAGCTGGGGAAGGGGTGGGAGACACCCACCAGACCACGTGGACCTTACCAGACAGGTGAAGGCCGGTCGGGAGCACCAGCCTTGGAGCTGCCCCATACCTGCCCGACTTGGGCCAGGTGCTTACCACCCCTGCCTGATGGCTCAGAGGACAGCACCCTGGAACAGACAGCCCCAGGCTGTGGGACCAGGGTGTGCTCCCCTTTAGCCCCTTCCTGGGATCACTGCATCACCCGTGTGGGGCCTGGCCTGAGTCCTGGAGGCTCCGGAAGTGATCTGGCCTCGCCCTGGGGTCTGTGTGATTCCACTGGACCGAGATAATACTGGGGGGGGAGGTGGTGGTGAGGTGGCTTAGGACACAGCTGGTAGAAGCCCAATTTGGACTCGAGACAAGTGGACAGAGGGCAGGGAGGAGCCTGAGAGGTGGGGGCATAGCTAGTAGGGTGGCATGCCAGCAGCTGGGCTTTATGTCTGGCTCCCAGGGAGGTGTAGGTGGCCTGCCATGTGCTCAGGAAGATTCCAGGGAGAACTTGGGGGCTGGGAGCCCCACTACACACTAAGTCCAGAGGCTGGGGCTGACTCGAGGAGAGGACAGTCAGACAGGAAATTAGTTAAGCCCTTGTGTGTATCATTCTACCTCATATAAAGCAGTAAAAAATAGGCATCGTTGTCTCCGGAGAGGGGCGACCTGCCCTAGTTCCCCATCTGTGAGAGGCCCAGAGTAGGGAACAACCATGCCCCAGGCTGCCAAGGAATGGAGGCCTGGGACAGGCCCCCTGGGGACAAGTCATGGTAGGGAGGGAAGGGCACCCAGGAAAAGCCAGGTCCCACACTTAAGGGGAGCCCAGTCTGAGGGGCAGGCCTGCCGGTCCTCCTCTGAGGGCAGAAATAGCCCCATTCATAATGGGGTTTGTGCAGAAGAGGGCCACAGAGTCAGAAGATGTGCCAGGAGAGGGGTGGCAGTCGCTGGGGGGGTGGGAGAGGAGGGCACAAAGGCAGCAGCACCAAGTCCCCAATCTCATCCCCAGAGTCTGGGTGGGGCTGGGCGGGGTCCCCTCTGTCTCTGGGTTCCCCCCCAGGCCTTGAGACAGGAAAAAGCTTAAGGCCCCTCCCTTCCCTCCCAGCCCAACCCCTTTCTCTCAACCCCGCCTCGCCACCTGCCTTGTGGGAGCCACCCAGAAGCTGTCTCCAGCTGCCGCACCCAGTGTGGGCCTGGGCAAGTCTGTTCCCTTTGTAAAAGGGGTGACCTCAGGACCTCTGTGGAGAGCAACTTGGGCCCCAAACTCTCCACTGTAGTGGGGGATATGGCGGAATGGCTCAGCTTACCTAGGACAGCAACAGGGAGACTCCAGGTTGACCCTCACCCACTTCTCACCTCTCCACTCTTAGTCCCTTGGGTGGGAGTGCCGGCTACTGGGCCTGCCCCAGGTGGGAACACCTAGAGGTCACACATGCTGAGGCTTGACCCTGCCGTATCCAGGTTCGAGAAGAACCGCATCTACACCTACATTGGCGAGGTGCTGGTGTCTGTGAACCCCTACCAGGAGCTACCTCTGTATGGGCCCGAGGCCATCGCCAGGTACCAGGGCCATGAACTCTACGAGCGGCCACCCCACCTCTATGCTGTGGCCAACGCTGCCTACAAGGCGATGAAGCGCCGGTCCCAGGACACCTGCATCGTCATCTCAGGTACCTGTCCCTGCAACCAGCCCCTCATTTGTAAACGGTGGAGTGGGTGGCCAAGGAACCTGCAATGTCCACTGCAGCTCTAGCATGCCGTGGCTCTAGGGCTAGGCTGCACTAATCCCACCTCCCCCCGACAGGGGAGAGCGGGGCTGGGAAGACAGAGGCTAGCAAGCACATCATGCAGTACATCGCTGCTGTCACCAACCCCAGCCAGCGAGCCGAGGTGGAGAGGTGAGTGGAAGATGTGACGGGCTCAGTCCACAGGGACCTCAGTACAGATGGAGGTGAGGGGCAGGGCCTGGAGTCCAGCTCAGGCCAGGGGCAGCAGGCTTGTCCATCAGGGGCCCCAAGTAACTCCTCACACTCAGAGGCCAGACATGGCTCTCCATACCAAGGGCCGCAATGGAAGCAGGCAATACCCAGTCAGAGCACAGGCTCCCCACTGGGAAGAAATGGCACTGATGGGTCTCTAGACACAGCAGTGGGCGCCCCCTAGGCATTCCACCGGGAGAAGCCCAGCTGATCAAGTAGGAAATAGGCCAGTCCTTGGTTGTTCAGCCTGGGGCCTCACAGCAGTCCCTCCTATGTGGGGCCCATCTTCTCCTGGCCAGATGCTGGGCTGGGGGTGAGGGTACATTCAGAGGGGACCATCATGGTAGTTCCTAGGTGGTAGCAACTCAACCATTCACCCTCATGGCTAAGGTCCAGGTCAGCTCCCCTTCCGTCTGCAGCCGAGGCTCAGGTAGGCAAGGAAGCAGCCCCCAAAACAGAGTGCACCTCTGGGTACTGTACCCACAGACCATGCACACAGGCCAGCAAGCACTGCTCTGGCAAGTTAAAGGCCATGTAACCATCAGCCCCAGGGAAGTGCTGGGCGGGGGCCCTCCATTCCCTCTAGGACTGCCCTTCTCCCCATCCTGAGTACTGTGACTCTGTAGGACCCAGAGCCCTCCCTGTTGGGAGGGCTTTGTCCTGAGCCAGGGTGGGCTGTCCCACAGGGTCAAGGATGTGCTGCTCAAGTCCACCTGCGTGCTGGAGGCCTTTGGCAATGCCCGCACCAACCGCAACCACAACTCCAGCCGCTTTGGCAAGTACATGGACATCAACTTCAACTTCAAAGGGGACCCCATCGGGGGACACATCCACAGTTACCTGCTGGAGAAGGTGGGCAGGCAAGCTGAGAAGGCCCCATGGGGACCCAGCTGACATTCTTCCCAGGCCCGAGGGCTGGGATGTCTTGCATTAGAAAGATTCGGCATCAGTGTCCCTGAGCCTAGGTATCATCAGTGGGGTCACCAGGGACAGACCCCTTCCCAGGCCAGTGATCAGCCACCCCTCTCTCCTCAGTCTCGGGTCCTCAAGCAGCATGTGGGTGAAAGGAACTTCCACATTTTCTACCAGGTGAGCATCTGACACGGGGAAAAGGGAACATGCCCCCACCCCAACCCAGGCAGCCTCATCCCCCATCACCCACACCAGGATCACTCTCACCCCACACAGACAGTATGAGCTCACAGGGAACAGCAGCAGGGGAGCTGCCATCTGAGACCCTGGGAAGAGGAGGGTTTCCTGGGACTCGGGCAGTGTCTTCATGGACTCTGAGCTCCACTCTGAAGTGGAGGCCTCTGGGACATGGATTGCTTCTCCTGCTGTCTGACCCCTGATCCCTGAGCAGACTGGCACATGGAGAGCACACTGACCCCAAGCTTCTCCTGTGTTGCTGGCTTTGCATGGAAGGAAATGTATCTGTGTGTCATCTTGCCTGTGTATGGGGAGGGCTGGGGTTCAGGAGTCCCAACCCAGAGAGTCTGTGTCCTCTAGTTGTTGAGGGGCAGTGAGGACAAGGAGCTGCAAGAACTGCACTTGGAGAGAAATCCTGCTCTGTACAATTTCACGCGGCAGGGAGCTGGGCTCAGCAGGAGTGTGCACGTGAGTGTGAGGGCCCTGAACTCAAACTGAGCTCGAGCCCAGGATCCTGAGAGTGGTGGCCATGAGCACGGGCCAGGGAGGTGCAAACAACCCAGTGAACTTGGAGGGTGTGTGGGTACAAGAAAGGTGGCCAGGATGGGAATAAGGTGTAGGACGAGCAGGTCCTGGGTAGAAGAATTGGGGTTCGAGGAGGGAAGAGGGGTATGGGATGTGTACAGGTACCTGGGATAGAGGAGTTGAGGCTCAGTGCTGGTGGTGTCCTGGTCCAGCTTAGCCCTGGGTTTTGAACCCTTCCCCAGGCCTCGGATAGTGATGAGAAGAGCTATCAGGTGGTGATGGCAGCCATGAGGGTCATCGGCTTCAGTCCCGAGGAGATGGGTTCCTTACATCGCATCCTGGCTGCTATATTGCACCTGGTGAGTGGCCTCAAGGGCCTTGCAGCAGGGGGGCAGGAGGCCTCTTCACAGAGATTTCCTGGCTGGCAGCTGCCAAGGAAGAGGAGGTCAGCCAAGACATTCTCACAACATGGCTGAGCTGAAGCTGGGTTGGCGATGAACTCTGCCAGATCTGGCAGCTATCTGGTTCTTAGGGTCAGGCAGCTGCACAACACCCTCTTAGGTCTGTCATTGGTGAGCGCCTGTCAACTCAGAGCTCACCAGCTGCTGGGAGGAGGTGAGGGATCATCTGTGGACCAGTGGACACAAGGCGTGGCCAAAGCGCTGGCACACTCCTGTACCCAGTCCACCCCCATCTCAAGTTGTCTGTGGCCATGGTAACCAGCTGCCCATGTTGCTCTGAGCAGGAGCTAGGCTCCCTTGCATCCACACTCCCTGCCTCCTTTCCTCCTCACATCCAAAGGTGTCCAGGCTCCCTGAGGACATGGGGCCTGCACTGTTCATGATTATTCCATCCCCAGGGAAACATCGAGTTCATGGAGACAGAGGGAAATGGGCTGCAGGACGGGGGTCTGGCAGTGGCTGACAAAGCACTGGTGGACCACGTGGCTCAGCTGACAGCCACACCACGGGACCTCGTGCTCCGCTCCCTGCTGGCCCGCACAGTGGCCTCTGGAGGCAGGGAACTCATAGAGAAGGGCCACACTGTAGCTGAGGCCAGCTATGCCCGGGATGCCTGTGCAAAGGTACTGGGGGGGGGCAGTGGGGGGAGAACGACTGGAGGCCTTAGTGGGGTTACAAGAGGTTGAAGCAGCAAGAAGAGCCTGTCATGCTCCCAGGCGGTGTACCAGCGGCTCTTTGAGTGGGTGGTGGACAGGATCAACAACATCATGGAAGCCCGGGGCCGGGACCCTCGGCGTGATGGCAAGGACACAGTCATTGGTGTGCTGGACATCTACGGCTTCGAGGTTTTCCCTGTCAACAGGTGAGCGTTGGCTACCCACGACCCACCTCTAACCCCTAGTGCAGAGGTGGCTTAGTCACTGGGAGCATGAATGTCTGGGCTTTTCCTGGCAGGGCCTGGGCCGAGGTTCATGCCCCGAGCCTGCCTTGGCTGTGCCCTGAGGGAGGCCAAAGTGTGGGGTCAGTTCTGCTGGCGTTGACTGTTGTGTGTGCTCCAGAAGGTGTGCGTGTGGAGGGCTGATTTGCAGGAAGAGCTGGACAGGATGCATGAGACATGTGACACACGTATCCTCTACAAGAGGAATGAGCCCACAAAAGCCAACCTTTCCCCCTTTCCGCAGTTTCGAGCAGTTCTGTATCAACTACTGCAATGAGAAGCTGCAGCAGCTCTTCATCCGGCTTGTCCTGAAGCAGGAGCAGGAGGAGTATGCACGCGAGGGCATCACCTGGCAGAGCGTGAGCACCGGGCCACAGGCTGGGCACAGGGGCTGCATCAGGAGCCACCGAAGGGCTGGCTGAGCCAGCCTGGAGGGTGACGAGAAGGGGAAATGGCCAGGTGGCCTCAGGAGCCCCTGCCATGCCGCCCCCCAGGTGGAGTACTTCAACAACGCTGCCATCGTGGACCTGGTGGAGCGGCCCCATCGCGGCATCCTGGCGGTGCTGGATGAGGCCTGCAGTACCGCGGGCACCATCACCGACCGCATCTTCCTGCAGACCCTGGACACGCACCACCGCCACCACCCACACTACACCAGTCGCCAGGTACCCTGCTGTTTGGTGCACACCGCCTGCACCTCGTGGGGACCCAGCCTCAAGGCCACTGTTGTCATGTGGCAACTTCTGTCTGGTCAGGGGGCACAGAGCTGTCCCCTCATGCAGACCCCACACATTCCTCCTGTTCACTGACCTTGACCTTGCTCCCACAGCTGTGTCCCACAGACAAGACCATGGAGTTTGGCCGAGACTTCCGGATCAAGCACTATGCAGGAGATGTCACGTAAGGGCCCCCACAGGCACCACCTCATACAGCAGGGGCCACACCGCAGGCACCTGGGGCGTGCAGGAGACAAGGTGTTGCCCTCTTTCCCTATGCCTACCCCTTTAAGACACTGAAATCACACTCCTAGACTTCTCAGTGGAGACCAAGATAGTTTGGAGGACAGTGACTCACCTGGCCGGTGTCTAGCGCCAGTGTGCCAGCGTTGCTGGGTAGAGGCAGAGGGGTGGAGAGTCTGTAGTTCTAACAGGTCAGGCCTCACACAGTCACCAAGGCCCAGGGCCTCCTGTGGAGGCCGTCGCAATGATTATTGATTTACCTGTCATTCACCTTACCCCAAAGTAGACTTGGGGTGGCTCACAGAAAGTGAGAAGCCGAGGCCTGCTCTAGTGTTGAATGTGAGCTTTGCAGGGAGAGAAATAGCATAAGTGGTGAAGACCAAGGAGGCAGCTGACAGACCCATTCTCAGAGCCCTAGCGCTGAGCTTTCATGGGGGCAGGAAAGCTTTGGCATGGAGCTTTCTGGCAGCCCAAGGGTAAGACAAGGTCCTGAGGCTCTGGGGCCCCAAGACTCAGGGGCATCAGCTTATGACGGACCTACTGATATGCCAATATGCACCAAAAGGCACTGGTCAAGAAACAGAGGTCAAGCAGCTTGTCCGAGGTCACGTGGCATGCACACATTCCAGTGGGAGTCGGTGCTTGACATCTGGCTTCAGAGCCGGATGACCGACCACTCAATTCAGCCATCAGGAGAGAAGCTTCTCCTGACAGTATGTGTTGGGAGAAGGAGCCCACGCAGCAAGAAGGGAGAGAGACTGCCCTGTAGAAGCCGAGGCAGGGGTGTCCCTGGTTTGTCTCTGCTCCCAGCACCATCCATCCTCCCCTCACCAGCCTGGCTTCTGGCAGGTACTCTGTGGAGGGCTTCATTGACAAGAACCGAGACTCCCTCTTCCAGGACTTCAAGCGACTGCTGTACAACAGGTGAGTGTGTGGGCACCCAAGGGCCAGGGCCTAGACTTCCAGGACTCCGGGGTCTGACCGCACTGAGGCTCAAGTCCAGGCCAGATGGTCACAGCAGTGGTGATGGGGCGGGCAGGGCTGCCCTGTGGTCAGCTGGTATATGTGCCCGTGTCTGTAGCACGGACCCCACGCTGCGGGCCATGTGGCCCGATGGGCAGCAGGACATCACGGAGGTGACCAAGCGCCCCCTGACGGCCGGCACACTCTTCAAGAACTCCATGGTGGCCCTGGTAGAGAACCTGGCCTCTAAGGTACACCCCACCCCACCCCAGCCCCCTGGGCCCTTCCCGAGGGGCCAGTGACACCTCCACACATTGGGCTTGTCCTGTTTACCTGAGCACCATAGTTCCCATGGGCAGGGCCCCTGGCTCAGGTTAGATCCAGGTTAGATGTGGGGCTCCGAGTGGGCAGAGGCTGGGCAAGTCACCAAGCACACGAGGCTTCACCCTGGGTCAGGTGGGATCCTTCCAGCAGCTGGGGCCACAGGGACCAGGAATTGGCCCTAGCTTTCCTGGGGCCCTCCGGGCACAAAGTCACTAGGGGGAATGAGGTGCCATTATACTGTCATTCTACAACAGAATATTCAGACAGCCCCCTGGGAGAAAAAAGGCAGGTGGGGCTAGACGCTCCTGCTCCCCCAGGCTAGAACCCAGCCCTGGGTGTGGCTGCCCTGCTGGACCCTGCCCGGATGTTCTGGGCTGCCAGGACCCTTGCTTGCCGTGACTTCCTTCCACCTGACTCTGCTCCTGGTCTGGGCCTTGCGCGTGTGTGTGTGTGTGTGTGTGTGTGTGCATGTGTGTGTGTGGTGTGTGTGTGTCTGTGTCTGTGTGGTGTGTGTGTGTGGTGTGTGTGTGTGTGCGTGTGTGTGGTGTGCGTGTGTGGTGTGTGTTTGTGTGTGCGTGTGTGCGTGTGTGTGGTGTGTGGTGTGGTGTGTGTTTGTGTGTGCGTGTGTGCGTGTGTGGTGTGTGTGTGTGTGTGTGTCTGTGTGGTGTGTGTGTGTCTGTGTGTGTGTGCACCTGCCCAAAATCCTGAGAGGGGAATGGAGGAGAAGGGACTGTGGCATGGCCGTCCCCCTGGGGGGTGATTTTTCACTTTCTCTCCCTCTCTCTCCAGCAAATGCATGCACATGGCAAAAACCTAAAAACAAACAAATAAACAAAAAACCCAAAGCAGACAAGTGTCCTGTGTTCTGGTGCCAAATCATCTCTGTACTGTTCATGCCAGACTGTGATTGAGAAAGAAAGTTCTCAGCAGAGACTACATCCTGCATCCCTACCAGAGGCTGCAGGGGGTGATTTGTGCTGAGCAGGTGTTTACATTCAATGAACTCTGATGGTTTTCTGAGCCTGGATTTTCCGAGATTTCCAGATTTTATGGACACAGCAGAGTAGGCAGGGGTCCCCAGATTGGTCTGTGGATCACTTGTGTGGTGTGTATGTGTGTGTGTGTGTGTGTGTGTGGCAGGGGGTCAAAGAAGCCCCTGGCTTGGATCAGAGCATATGATGGCTATTGGCCTGGGCTACCCAAGAGCCCCCTCTGCCTCCTCAGGAGCCCTTCTATGTCCGCTGCATCAAGCCCAATGAGGACAAGGTGGCCGGGAGGCTGGATGAGGACCACTGTCGCCATCAGGTGGCCTACCTGGGCTTGCTGGAGAACGTGAGGGTCCGCAGGGCCGGCTTCGCTTTCCGCCAGCCCTACCCGCGATTTCTGCTCAGGTACTGGCACCCAGCACTGTGGCTCCGCATCACAAAGTGTGTGTGGAGCCTGGGGTAGGAATGGAGGGTCCCTGCCAGCCCTTCACAGATGCCCATGCAAAGAGAAGCTGCACGCCACTGGCCTCGAGACTGAAATGTCTGGGAGGACACACGTGTGCTGCAGGAATGTTTCAGGCGAGGGTCGGGGGTGGTGGTAGTGGCTGCACCCCTGTATGTCCCCAGGGGTGGGCAGTGGGGTGTTCCACGTCCTTCCCTGAGCCTGGCCCTCACTGCCCTGCCCTGTGGGGACAGATACAAGATGACCTGTGAGTACACATGGCCCAACCACCTGCTGGGCTCTGACAGAGCGGCCGTGAGCGCCCTCCTGGAACAGCACGGGCTGCAGGAGGATGTGGCCTTCGGGCACAGCAAGCTGTTCATCCGTTCACCACGGACACTGGTAACACTGGAGCAGAGCCGGGCCCGCCTCATCCCCATCATTGTGCTGCTGCTGCAGAAGGTGTGCGGGGTGCCTGGGGCGAGGGCTGCGAGTGCCGAGGGTGGGATGTGTGTGCCTGCGGCGAGGGGCGCACATGCCTGAGGGTGAGGGATGTGTGTGCCCAGAGTGAGGAGTGCATGTGCCTGGGGCAGGGAGAGTGAAGCTCCAGGGGCCACAACCACACAGGTAGGTTCTGCAGGTGTCTCTGCTTGATGGAGGCAGGCCAGGATTGAAACAGACTAAGCCAAAGTATGCATATAGTTGAGGCGCTCAATCAGTGGCTACCGCTTCAGGCCCAGTTGGATCCAGTTGCTCAGAACAAGATGTTCAGGAATCTAGCTTCTTTCTCTCTCCCATTCCACTTTCTTTCTTCTTTTTTTTTTTTTTTGAGAGTTTTTAAAAAAGAAGTGTTTACTTTTATTTATTCATTCATTTATTTTAAATTGACGAGAGAGAAAGAGAGAGAGAGAGAAGCGAGAAAGCAAGCCACCAGATCCAGGACTTGAACCATGGTCGGCCATGTGGGAGTGTTCAGCGCCTTAACCACCATGCCACGTGCTGGGAGAGGTCTTTGCTATAGGGTTCGTGTACTCGCCAGGAAGACAGAGAGAGACAGAGAGATAGAAAGTGAGAAATAACCCCCCCAGGGGGGCTAGCCACAACACAATCTCTCCTCCATTCTCCTCTTAGGATCTTGGGCATGCACACACACGTGCCCAGAGTGAGTTTAAGCCACTGGTCTGGGACACAAACTGCGGTCGACTACATAGGAGTCCAGCATCGTGGCCATTACGCCAACTGCTGGTCCCTCCCTTTCCACTTTCTTTTCTATCTTCCTTCCTTTTAGTGTGAAAGATCAGACCCGGGGGAGGATATGCAGACTTGTGTCCCAGCCTCCCGCACTCCCCTGCCCGCTTCCACCCTCTCCGCTCACAGCACGTCTTCATGTAGCAGTCTGGCAGTCTGCACTCTGTCCCGACAAACCTTTTCACCCATATCATTTCAGTACATACTATGTTTCCAAGGGATAAGGATTCTTCCTCTTCGCCTCAAAACTTTTTTTTAAGAATTATTTATTTCATTTTATTTATTCATTCACTTATTTTTAAAATTGACCAGAGAGAGACAGAGAGAGAGTAAGAGAGAGAGAGAGGGCAAGTGAGAAAGCAAGCCACCAGGTCTGAGACTCGAACCGTGGTCAGCCATGTGGGAGTGTTCAGTGCCTTAACCACCACGCCACCTGCTGGTCCCACTCATAACTTTTTTTTAAAAAGAATTATTTATTTTAATTCCTTATTTATTTATTTATTTATTTATTTCATTTGACCAGAGAGAGAAAGAAAGAAAGGAAGAGGGAGAAAGCAAGCCACCAGCTCTGGGCCTCAAACCACAGTTGGCCCTGTGGGAATTCAGAGCTTTAACCACCACACCACCTGCTGGCCCCCCTCATAACTTTTTTTTAAAATTATTTTATTTGGGGACCAGTAGGTGGTGCGATTGTTAAGGCATACTCCCACATGGCCAACTGTGGTTCGGGTCCTAAACCTGGCAGCTTGCTTTCTCACTTTCTCTCTCTCTCTCTCTCTGTCTCTCTCTCTCTCTGTCTCTCTCTCTGGTCACATTAAAATAAATGAATGAATAAATAAATTATGACTATGATCATTATTTCAATTTGACCAGAGAGAGAAAGAAAGTGAGAAGGCAAGCCATCAAGTCCAGGATTTGAACTGAGGTCAGCCATGTGGGAGTCCAACACCTTTAACTACCACGCCACCTGCTAGCTCTCTCCTTATAACTTTTTAAAGTTCATTTATTTGTTCATATGTAAGGGAGACAGAAGCAGAGAGACAGAGACAGCATCCCCAACAGGGTCCCGACTCTGTGATCCACCCCAAGCCTCAGGTAGCCAGGCGTATTCAGCGAGGTTTCCTGATACAAACCCAGAACCTTCTCTCAGAAAGTTGTCATAATCTGGCCCCACTCATTACTTTTTTTTATTTCGAAACAATTCAAACTTACAGAAAACTTTAAAGATCAGTACGGCAAATATCATGTATTATTGGCTGAGAGGCTGCAGTGGCACTTTCCTTGGTGGGGAAGCACTTCCATCTTCCCACCTCCGTTCTCAGGCAAGCTTTCTCCTGGGGGTATCTGGGGTTCCAGCTTAGAAAGCCTGAAAGAGGCAAGCAGCTCTTTCTGACGGTCTGCAAACCCTGGGGCTCAGCAGCCAAGCAGACCAGGTGCCTCAGACTTCCTACCCCTGCCAGGTGGATGTGGTTTCCGGGAGCCAGGGGATGTATTGGCCTCCCTGGGGACATGCAGGGGGTGCTCAGGGAAGACTTGAGGTAAGGGTTGGGGTTGGGCTGCTGAGGCTGGCTGGTCCTGCCTGTGTGCCCAATTCCACCCTCTCCACAGGCATGGCGGGGCACCTTGGCCAGGCAGCGCTGCCGGCGGCTACGGGCCGTCTACACCATCATGCGCTGGTTCCGAAGGCACAAGGTGCGTGTTCACCTGGCCGAGTTGCAGCGGCGATTCCAGGCTGCACGGCAGCCCCCTCTCTATGGCCGTGACCTCGAGTGGCCACTGCCCCCTGCCGTGCTGCAGCCTTTCCAGGACACCTGCCGTGCACTCTTCTGCAGGTACCACCTTCGGCCAGTTCATGCCTCACCCCTGGGTGTGGCCACACAAAGAAGTGGGACAGTGGGGCTGGGCCACATGAGCTGAGTGCCCTCATCCCACAGGGAGTGGCAGTGGCCCGAGGGTTCCTGGCACCATGCTGGGCATGCAAACCAGGGCTCTGGCTTGCTGGGGGCTGGGGAATGGCCAGTCAAGGCTAGGGGTGGGGCACCCTGCCTCAGAGCAGGGCTGTAAAGACTGAGGAATTCTCCAGGGGAGACTCAGAGCAAACAGCGTGGAGGGTGCTGCACAGCCATGGGTCTGGCCACTCCGATCCAGGGCAAACGCTGAGTGGGAGGGACCGACACCAGAGAGGCTGGCAGAGGGTGGGCAGCCAGCATCAGGCTGAGGCATGGACGAGAGGCCAGCATCCCTCTGACTGCCCACCCTTGCCAGGTGGCGTGCCCGACAGCTGGTGAAGAACATCCCCCCTTCTGACATGGCCCAGATCAAGGCAAAAGTGGCTGCCATGGGGGCCCTACAGGGGCTGCGTCAAGACTGGGGCTGCCGGCGGGCCTGGGCCCGAGACTACCTGTCCTCGGTGAGTGAGGACCACTTGGGGCAGGCTGCCTCTGATCACATCCCCACAGATGCCCTTCCCCAGCTCGGCACTGTCCGCCCTGGGAACTGTGCCCCTCTGCCTTATCTCACTCTGGAGGTGCTCATCCCTGGGCTCTGAGGGTTTCCAGCTGGTCCCTCTGACCGGGTCTTGCTGGGCAGCCCTCGCCCCCACACCTACCCAAGTTCTCAGGTACCAATGCCCAGCCAGGTGCCATAGCTACACTGCCACCACTCCAAGTCCTCAGGCCTTTGTGCTGTCATTCAGGGGGTGGGGGTGTGGGATAGTGGGGATTTTGAGGGGCCAGGGCTCCCTGTGGCTCCTGCCTTCTCAGGGTTTCTCCAGAGCTAGACGGGGTCTCAGGCTGGCCTGGAGCAGCGAGGGTGGCAGGTGTGGAGGGCAGGAAGGACAGGCGCACCCCACAAGGCCAACTCAGCTTCCTGTGGTGAAGAAGCAGAGAGGAGTGGCTAGGGTGGCCCGCTGGGAGCTGCGCCATTGAGCTCTAAGACCCCACCCATCTGCCCTCAGGCCGTTGACAACCCCACAGCCTCCAGCCTGTTTGCTCAGCGGCTGAAGACGCTTAGGGACAAGGATGGCTTCGGCGCTGTGCTCTTTTCTAGCCACGTCCGCAAGGTTAGAAGCTAGGGGTACAAAGAAGCACAGGTGTGGGGTGTGCAGGGTAGGCCTGAGGCAACCCCAGTAAGGTCCTGTGTCCCCACGTTCCTGCGTCCCCAGCCCAGGCCCAGTGACTCTGGAAACTTTGGAAAGCATCAGCTTACGCCCAGTCAGTGCTGAGGGGGCATGGGATGGGGGTGGGGGGCAGCATGGGCCCCTGGTGGGATACCTGTGCCCCGGCCCACCCACCTCTCCCACAGGTAAACCGCTTTCGCAAGAGCCGGGATCGGGCCCTCCTGCTCACAGACCGGCACCTCTACAAGCTGGAGCCCAGCCGGCAGTACCGGGTGATGCGGGCCGTGCCCCTGGACACGGTGAGCACGTGGCGGGCAGTGGGCGCTCGGCCTCCCTGTCAGGGCCTCGGCCACCGCAGCACCCTGCTGAAAACCCTGCAGCGATTTCCCACTGCTGCCCTGCGCGCCGCCCCTGCTGCGCTGCCCTCCCCGCACCAGTGCACCCTTGTGTTCCGCTGCCTCCCCTGGACTGTCCCCGCCAGCACCTTCCTGTGCTCTGTGGCCCAGGTTTTCCCTTGCCCCAGCTCCTTGTTCCCACCAACTCTCTTGTCCCAGGACAAGGAGCAGCAGCGAGGGACAGGCATCAAGGCCGGCCTACTTCTGGGTCCTCCCTTTCCTCATTTGGGTGTCAACGGTCCTGTGATTGTTAGAGTAGAAGGGGCCACGCTGGGTGACACAGCAACCGTGAGCCCAAGTCAAAGAGCAAAGTCGCAGCTCCTCAGCCCCCAAGCTTGTGCTCAGCAGGGGCCTAGAACGGTCC